GGATCTCTCTTAAAAGCAAAAAGGAAGCACAAGAAAAAACACAAGGAGCGGCATAAAATGGGAGAAGAGGTTATACCGTTAAGAGTTCTATCGAAGTAAGTTTGTTGTAGACGTTTCTGATGTTGATTGCATACACTCCATCACCATTGCTAAAGTGCAATTCCAGTTTATATTTAACAGAGTTGCATATTAGCAACAGTAGTGGGTTGTAACCAGGATTGGAACTAGCAGTAAGAAAACGTAGTGTGGTTATCGTAGAGGATCTGTTGAGATTCACCACACTGAAACATGGAAGCACTTATTTGAGTAAGGCACAGCAAGTGTCTCCATGTTAAAGTAATGGGGATCCCTTTTTTCATTTCAGCCGTCTCACAGTCATGTAGAAAAGTAAAAGGAAGACTCACCATCACTAAAACATGGAAGCACTTACTTTTTTTGTTTCAAAGCAAGTACATCCACGTTTAAGTGGTGGGGAGCCCAGTCTAGACAAAAATATACATAGAATAAAGACTATATTTGTGCAACAGAGTATGGGTTTGGAGACACCTCCACTGAAACATGGAAGCACTTACTTTTCTTTTTCACAGCAGGTACCCCCATGTTAAAGCAAAGGGGATCTCTTAGGTATCTTAGAAAATATCTGCAAAACTACCATTAAGTTGGTGATCAATTGAATTCACTTCTACTAAAACAAGGAAGCACTTACTTATTTTTAAAGTAGCAGAAAGGACCTCCTTGTTAAAGTTGAAGGTAATTCATCTACTTGGAAAGAGAAAACAAAATACCTTACCTTTTTGATAAAAAACTTACTCAGTTAACTTGGCTGGTGTTCTGCCAGAATGGTAAAAGTCAAAAGTTTCAAGCACTTGTATTTATACCCTTCTTAACTCCTGAATTCCTTTTGCCTTTTTATCTTGGAGAATCATTACAAGAGACTTTTGTTATTTTAATGTATCAGCTTTCAGGGAATGTATGATCCTGGGTGGGTCTGGATACTTTTTTTTTTTTTTTGAAGTATACAGATGTCTATGTTAACAGCTAAAACCATTACCAGAAGATATCCTCCTTTTAAAAAAAAAGTCCCCTATCTGCTTGTTTGATGGCAAAGATTAGAGTAACAATGAGTGCTCAATGAGTGCTCCTGGGGAGCCAGTAGGGCATTGTGTTTCGATCTAGGGGAGCTCTCTAGCTGTTTGCAGAAACATCCACATGATAAATGCTTGTAAATAAATAAATTACTGCCATGGCTTGTTTTTTACTGCTTAAAAATTCCTTTTGACTCAAGTAAATACTAAGGAATGTTATCCTTAATTGAAAGCTGTTTCACAAATAATCATTAAATTGTATTCTTACATTTTTCTCCAGTGCATGATGTAAATTAGCTAATTTAAAAAAGTAATCTAAATGTCAATATGTGGTACACACAAGAATTAAAAAAAAAAAATTTAGATGGAAACTGAATGGTTATAGGCACACTTTTTTTAAGTACTATTTATTTAGTCATCAATATTTTATTAGCTCTTTCCCCCCCCTTACTTGTAGGTGTGAATGGATGGATTTAAAAAGGGAGTACTTAGCACTGCAAAAAGCCAGCATGGCTTCTTTAAAAAAAACAATATCTCAAATAAAATCAGAGTCTGAAATGGAAACAGACCTTAGTGAATCTAATAAATCTGGAACGAAAAATGAGAAAGGTAAAGATTTATCTCTATAATAATTTTACGTGTGTGTTAACACTATTTGTATACTGAATGCTGTTTTGCCGTTATAGGAAAGTTTTCATTTAATAGAATTGTCATTAGAGATCATTGACTTTTTTTTTTTATCCAAGTAGGTGATTTCTTAATACTTGAGTATTTGAAGGGATGTTTTTATATTGTTTCTCTTTTCTCAGTAGCTTTTATTAATCAGATTTAGTAGTTAATTATTCTTTATTTAGAGATGAAAAAGTTTATAGGAATAGCAACTGTGCCGTCTCACCTATAGTTTCATCATACAAAGTGAACCATACACAGACCAATTAAATCATGATTCTATGAGTTATTTATTATTAAAATACATTTTTAGGTTACTATAAATTGTCATGGTAGACAGTCACTTTTGAGTTATATATTAATAGAGGTTTTGAAAGTATACTTCTTTATTTCTTTACTTTGTTACATGATTAAAGGGAAAAGGCTTTTTATATGAGAGAGAGGTAGAGCAATAAGCTATTTTTTTATTCCCTTTAAGTCCACCTAAGATATCACAAAGTCATTCATTGTTCTTATTTTAACTATTCTTAGTTAGCCCTCCTAAAGTGTTCAATTGTTAAATATAAGAGATTTATTCCTTATCTTTTCCTTTCACATCAACAGCTAACAGTGAAGAATGTCGCCCCCAGGAGGTTAATTCGATGGGACCACAATTTGTGAGCGGAGTGATTGTGAAGATAGTTAGCACAGAGTCTCTACCTGGCAGGAAACAAATCAGGGTAATGTTGTGAGCCCACAGGGATTTGTCACTCTCTCCTCTTAGTATCACTGCTGTGTGAAGATGTTTTCAATATAGGAGAGGGGAATCACATTACAATTTTTACCTATAGAGTACACTTCTAGTAGCTTTTGATTCTGTTGTAATGTCTAGGTTTAACTTGAAGCAACGTCTAAAAGACATCTAAAAGTGTATTAAATTCATAAGCAGTATATTTTAAACATACTTTTCTACATAGAAAATTACTATTTATGCCTGTATTTGTTGGTGCCTTCAGTTATTAACTACTATTTACTTGAATGAAAAAATAAAATCACATTTAAAATTGAAAGGTATGTTTTTAGGGGAAAGTTTTCTATCATAAATCAAAATATACTTTACAAAAACATTTCAAACATTTTTTGAAGACAACATAGTTTGTTGTCTTATGTTATCTGGTTTGGAAGCAAACTAGAAATTGTTTAAATTGTTTTCAGTAAAGCTTTGTTTAATCTATAAATTTCATCTATAAATTGGTACATGGTTCTGTAGTTTGCTTTTTACTATAAATCATTTCTCTTTTCTAACCAGCACATACAGACATCAGAGATAACACCGATGCAAAGTTTTTGTGGCTTTTTAAAAAGCAACTCACTCTTTTCTGTGGCTGTTTACCAGATCAGTTCATGTAATGTTGTTCACAGTTTGCATGAATAGAAAAGCTGCTTCCTACCTCTTCCCAACAAAATGCTGCATTTATTTCAAGAAAAAATTTTTTTGCTTAAATAGAATTAACAATGAAATCAATTAACGTTATGTGAAACTACTATTACTACCCATTGCCTTCAGTGAGTCAGAACGAGCTCATCTCTGGCCCTCTAGCAGATTTTCAGAGACTGTAAATTCCAAGGGAAGTGGATTTAAAGACCTGCTTTTGGGTTGGTAGTGCAGCTCCTTCCTTACCCACTAGATCACAGTTAATTGATAATAAAAGGGTAGAAAACCCTGCTTATACTTTTTTACAAAGTCATTACATTTGGCCACCATAGTGCATTGCGTGTCTGACTGCCAGCCCAAAGGGCAGTGGTTCAAGCTCACCAACAGCTCCAAATGAGAAAGATCGTGTCTTCTCCTAAAGATTTATAGTCTCAGAAACCCAGTGGAGGGTCATAAGATGGCAGTGGGTATTCCTTTGTATAAGAATACCTTCGCTTATTTATTTACCCTACATTTGGGTAAGACAATAAACAAAGTGCTAAAGCATAAACTGTAAAATGTTCATATATATCCTACTAAAAAATTTTTTTATACTGATACAGACCTGTAATGTGTTGATTTGGTTTTGTGTTCAGTCATTTTTTTAAAATTACAGGTAAGCGTTGAGATTTTTGCAAACTACATATAGTCTTCCTCTGGAACGCTAACTTATTGTAAAATCCTGTGTCAATAAAGCATACTTTGAATTCTCTGCCTTATATTGGTAAGGGAGTTGGCCAATCTCGTAGTTTGCATTTTAGGACATGAAAGCAATATACTACATAGGATAAACATGGAGAGATTTCAGTGTTGCTGTCCTGATCAGAAGGAGCTCTGGTGGGTGGTTTAGTCAGCAGTAAGGAGTTACACTGGTAAAGCAAAGTCTGTGCTTCTCTGCAGGTTTGTTCTTGCTCAGTAGGAGAAGGATGTGGAGTTTCCTCCATGAGATTTACAGCCTCAGAAACTCATTGACAGTTCAGCTATGAGTCAGTTCTAACTTATTTTTTAATTCTTTGGTTAAAATGCAAAAGTATAATAGAAAATTTAATAAAATTTGTCTTATTTGGAATCATTGACATAAGTATAATTATACTTATCAAAGAGCTTTTATTATATAAATAGTAATTAAACCTGTTTCTTACTCCTCAAAATAAAAAACAAAACCCTTATCTCATTAGTCTATATAGTAGTTACTTAAATTTTGCAGGAAATAAAGCTAAGGTTATGATGGTTGCTGTGGTCTGTGACTAGCCCTTGTGATTACTAGACTAATGTCATTGTTCAAAGGCTTGTGAGTAAGGAAATTAGCCTGATGTTATAATAGCTATTTCATAAATATTTTTTTTAGTTTTAACAATCTAAATTTTTTTTTTAGTTTTAACAATCTAATCTGATAAATCGTATTTTTAAAAAATCTAATCAAACATTCAAATTTCATCATTTAATACTGATTTATTTTTTCTGAAGTCTATAAATTTAGTATTGATACACTAATTCGAGAAAGGAAAAAAATGGCAAGTGTATCCTTTTTGAACTTAAATGAATCTCCTTTTTTAAGTCACTCTTCCAAAACCGGAGTAAAATCCTAAAGCGAGGAGAAATGAGTAAGATTCTCCAACATCTTCAACAGGAAATCTCCACTTAACCCGCCCCCTTTTTTTTTTAGCATTGTGATGCATGGAAGGTGATGATTTAAGAATTTGTAACATTCCTGCATAAAAGTCTTTTGTGTAGCCTTTAGTACCTGCTGTGAAAAACAAAATTGACTAGGAATGCAAGAATCTTGTTAATTTGCCATTCCTGTTGGCAATATTGATAAAATTTTTCCTGCTGTGTGATGACAACTTGTTTGGAAATTCCTTGGCTATTTTATCAGAAGTAATACCTTTTGAACTGTAGTTGTCTTAACTTGATTCCCTAAGGAAATTGAAATTTTGTTAGGCTTTATTAAGCCTTTTTAGTGACATCATAAAAAGCTGGAAACACCAGTATGTTTGATAAGCTTTTTTCTAATAGTCCTACTGTTACTTGTACAGGTAAATAAAATTATGAGAGTCAAATGTAGGCATTTCAAACCCACTTAGGCATTTAAGATAGGAATATTTGCCTGCTTCTGATGGGTGGTGGTTGTTGTGTACTGTTGACTTGGAATCAACCCATAGCTTAGTCCCAAGCAGGTTTTCAGAAGCATTTCATACAGCCTTTTAGACCTCTGGAACAGTTCTAGTCTGCTCATGTGGGTTTGTCATAAGTCAGACTGACATGATGCAAATAACAACCTCAAGTAAAGACACTCCTGCAATTTTTAAAAACGTTTTATATTCTTTAATTTGCAATAATTATACTATCTGTGCTACAAAATCTATTGTAAATTATTATCAGAGTTGATGTTAAGTAGATTTTCTTTTTCTTGAAATAATGTTATTCAAGAATATTTCTGTAATTTAAAATGAGTGTTTCATTTAGGGTGTATCCCTACTTAACAGTTATATCTAATACCTTTTAAAATTATTTCTGATGTTTCGACAGGATACTTTAGCAGCAATCTCAGAAGTGGTTTATGTTGATTTACTTGAAGGAGATACAGAATGTCATGTAAGATTTAAGATTCCAGAGGATGCTC